CACATCCCACCTCGATCCCTCTACTGTTAACTTAGGTAACCATTTCACATGATCCTTACCCTTCTAGCCCAAGATATGTGCTTCTGTCTTAAAGCTTTCCCTCCCATCCTGAAACTTCTTGAATCACATCACACATGGCTTTGACCCTCACTTAGACCCCTCCTCATCCGCAACATTTATTCACATTCTGAGGTACTGTCTGCTGATCCAAACTACTCTCAAGTAAACTAAGAGCACCACAGCCATTTATGGTGATGTCAAAGCTCCCCTAGCCTCAGCCTTCTGTATGTGATTACAGATGTGTAAACCACACCTTGTTCTATTATTTTAGTGGCATCAGAGCTGGCACCTCATCACTTATAAGCAGTTGGGAGAAAAGGACAAGTTGGGTTGTTTGCCTTGCAGCCCAGCCATCAGCCCAACATTAACAATGCAAGCACTCCTTGGCTCATTCTACACCCCCCACAAGAGAATAATTTTTAATAATCAGTACTCTCTGGGAGACAGAAGACAAAAAGTAATGACAACAAAAGGACATCCTTAAATAAAGTTCCTCTTTCACTGGAATTTGGCACTTAAATGCAACCATGGAAAGTCCAAAGCAAAGAACTGTGGGGAATAAGAATGTTGTAACAAGGGGCTAGAGAGATGGCTCAGTGGTTAAGAGCAGAGCTGCTCTTCCAGAGGTCCTGAGTTCAAGTCCTAGCACCCACATAGTGGCTTATAATCATCTATAATGGGATCTGATGCCCTTTCTGGCATAAAGGCATACATGCAGATAGAGCACTCATATACGTAAAATAAATAAATCTTTAAAAAAAGGTTATCGTAACAGACAGCTTTTTCACACTGCTGATGGCCCTGGGATCATCTCCTCGGATAACCCATCGCTGCAGCACTACAAGTGCAGCTGAAGTGTCTAAGAAAATCTCAAACAGATGGGACACTGGATGCTGATGTGCTCTTGACCAACCAGGGGGTTTACCTCTCACTTGTGAGATGTTAAGCTACCCTTCCCCTTTGGGAAAACATCACGGTGAGATTCTTAAAGCCATTTCTGTGTTCCCGGCTTGGGAATGTGATGCTGGGAACTCACCCTAAGGAAACCATCCAACAGCATCACACAGCTCTTGTCCTGGAGCTCCTCAAGTGTTGCTCCACCTGCAGCAGCCAAAACAGCAGTTTCAGCATTCAACAGCAGATGGCTAATTTAAAACAGTGTGCAACATTAGCACGATGGCACGCCACCATCATTACAGTAGCTACGGGGCCACACAGAAGCCTGACATCAAAGGGGGGGAATTACACACACATGCTTGTAACTATAAAAAACATGGGTGTGTGCATGTGCAGGGCTCTGGGCTCTGGAAAACAACAGCAACAGCTAAGGCTTCTGTCATCTTGCAAGGTTTTAGGTACTCAGCATGTGTTTTCTCTGTGTTACCACTGTTTTCCTTAATCATGTAGCATCACGGCTGAGGGGTGAGCTCAGGGCCAGGGTGCTTGCATACCATGCACAAGGCCCTGTGCTGCATCACTAGCACCAGAAGATGGAAGGGATAACAAATAATGTAAGTTTATTTCATCTACAATAAAATGTACATGCTCTGTATTTGACCATCAAATAACTGGAAAATGAGAGAATCCAACCCTGGCACCCTAGTTGGAAGGCATGCTCTTAGCTGGAAAAAACAAAACAAAAACAGTAGCCAGTAGGGGAAAACTGAGTCTCCTGGGTAGTACTACAGGAGCAGTATTCTGAGAGTTTGTACCATAAACAATGGCGACCAGGGCACATGGACATTGGTACTAATGCCCAAAAGTGTCAACATGTCTTCCCTTTGAGAGGAGCCCACATAGCTGCCGGCTCTGAGAGAGCCGACCTAAGGTCTATACCATGGACTCAGTAAATGCAGGCTCCTTTCCAGTGAGTAAAGTATAATAACAAGCACTCCTAACAGGCAGTGTGCATCTGTGAATGATACGCACAGTAAAGGCCTCATCACTCGTCTCCCGTAGACAACAGGAAGCAGGCCTGTGAATATGAAGCTGGGTCAGGGGTCAGAGTGAGACTCTGGCCCTTATGTGTTCTGGGTGGACATTCAGCTGCATCAGATGCCTCTCCGCTGTACATGCAGGTCTAAACACCTCTGCTGGCTACAGCCCAAACCTCTAAATCCATCCTGCTGAGCTGAGGCAGAGCCTTACTCCCCCACCCCCACCCCGCCTACCCTCTGCCTGCAGGGTTCTTTCCCTGTACAGCAAGCCCCACTTAGTCAGCCTATGAGCAGAGCTTTTCATAGTCAGCCCTTCCTCAGAGGGTGTTAATTTCCCTGGCTACCACCCACACTGTGTGCAAACACTTACATCACTAGCAACTCCATTCACCAGCCTGGTGGCACGGGGCTGCTGGGAGTTTAGGGAAGAGGTGGGGTGGAGAGATGACTCAGTGTTTAGGAGCACTAGCAGTTTCGCCAGAGGACCTAGGTTCAGTCCCCAGCACCCACAAGATGACATACAATCTATTTTAAGGAAATAATAACTAATTTCAATTGCTGCATATCAGCCTGCACGAGACTTCCTAGAGCCAATATGAGAAAGGAAGGGTCTGCAGGACGGCAGGGCATTGGGACACTCACACCATCATACACCTTCAACTTTCCGACTTCCCCAGCCCACAATATGGGAACAGACTGATGTGAAGGGTACACAGGGTATCTTTTAAAATAGCCTTCAAAGCCAGGCAGTGGTGGGGAAACACCTTTAATACCAGCACTCAGGAGGCAGAGGAAAATGGATCTCTGTCTACAGCCTGGTCTACAGAGGGAGTTCCAGGACAGCCGGGGCTGTTAACAGAGAACCCTGTCTTGAAAACTCAATCAAATAAATAAATGAATAAAAATTAAAAACATAAATAAAATAGCCTCCAGAATGCACCAAAGCTTGGCCCTCACATCATGGCTGGCTCTGGCGGTGTCTACTCAGAGTACCAGCCATCACAGGACAACAAGCTGGGGAGAGTGACAGGAGCATCTTCAGCTGTCCCAGCAGCAGCAAATGTGGACACCGCACTTTCCATTCACTTCCACTCCCTAGTGTGTCAGAGATCCCAGCTATGTGGCTCGCCTGGAGCCACCACTCATCCACCAGGAAGGCTCTCATCACCTCACTGAAAGAGGACAGGAACGGCCCTGAAGTCAGGGCCGGATAGACTCTGAGGAGACAAATGTGGTCGGTGTACCCTAGATAAACCAACCTGCCCTCTGAGGGAAAGGGCGGTGGGAGAGCATAGGTGACAGTGGCTCTGCTGGCTATGAATGAACTGTCAACTACGGCCCTACACTGTTCTCACTACAGTTAGTATGCAAAGGCAAGCAAACCTCAAACCTTTATGTAATTTTGTATGCAAACCCAGTTATTTCCAATGCAAAACTACACAAGGTAAGCTAAGCAAGTTTTTGCTTGCTCTTATTTTACACATATTGAAAACACATTGAAGAGGGCTGGGGATGTAGCTCACTGGTAAAGAACTTACCTAGAGTGGGTGAGGCCCTGGCTGCATCACCAGTACTGTTTAAGTATAACCAGTGTACCACGGACCCATCACCTGGCTCCTGGTGCTGGTTAACAGTTCCCCTATTTTGCTCATCTGGAAGTCCTCACTTTCAAATGTGTCATTTTGCTGAATTGTGTCAGGGTAATTACAGTAAGCATGGCTCTTTAAACAGTCCACCGTGACCATCCAAAACCAAGAGTGTTCTCCCACACTGCTCAGTACCAAGGAAAGTAAGGTCAGGGGCTAAGTGCAGCTCAGGGTTGCTTAGCAAGTTCCAAGTGCTGAATTCAATACCCAGCACCCAGGAAAGACTCGTTCCCAGCACAAGTCCCCAGCTACTTCTTATTCCACCTTGTTAAGCTGGAATCCAGTGGAGTATTTGTCAAAGAAACAGCCGACAAGAGAATGCTGGAACATGACAGCAAACTAACATCCCACCTACACCCCACCGCACCCCACCCCGCTTTGGACAGGGGGTTGTTAGAGACAGGGTTTCTCTGTGTAGCAACCTTCCTGGCTGTCCTGGAGCTCACTTTATAGACCAGGCTGTCCTCAAACTCACTGAAATCTGCCTGCCTCTGCCGCCCAAGTACTGGGATTAAAGGCGTGCGCCACCGCTGCCTGGCTCTGTTTTCCCTTTTAAGTGAAAGACTTTCTATAATTTGGTTCCAGCAGTTATTGTTAACATTTCCAGGCATTTCTTTGCAGTTGCTTCTTCATTCACAAACACACATTCAGCCACAGTTACAAGGGGACTGCCAACCACAGTCAAGCATGCCTGCAAAGATGGCTGGGGTGGGGCACGCCCGCAATCCCAGCACGGGAGGCTAAACGGGACTGAGGCCAGCCTGACGAGGCGGCACACTCAGGACCAGCACAGGCCGAGCAGTGAGACCCTGCCCCCAAGTCCTGCAGGTGCCACCTCGGGCACAGCTACCAGCTGCTAGCCTCATGGGTTAGGTGTCTGAGAAAGCTGTCCCGGAGCACTGCTGACGGTCGTGTGCTGATCCTGGGCACCGTGGCAGTGCTACAGTCCCGTTCTTCCTCCCCTCAGAGCTGACACAGCAGCCTGAGGGTCCGGGGCAGTGGTGACAGAGGTTGCTGCCTCTCACAGTGTGGAAAATAGGTGAACAGGGTGGATATATATTTATCCTTGGGAGATGATATACGCTTAGAAGCTTTCAACAACATTCTTCACAGCAAAAAAAAAAATCACGAAATACTCCAACTCACGCATAGCAAAACTCTTGACTTGAATTAGGTCTTAAAAATTGAAGGATGTCAACAGAAACTCATGTGCTGAACCACCCACCAGCTACACAGGTCATTAAGAGGGGAGTTTACTCTGATCTGGAAGATGGCTCCCCAGGCTGATTCAGCTGGGCGAGGGTCCCAGATGAGACCACCACCTTGCTGCCTATGAGATGGGGCAGAACTTTCTTACCTTGTTTCCAGGGGCACAGATGGCTTTGTCTCAGGGGCTTCTGTTTTTCAACGGCATTGCCCATCCCTAAAGCCAGCAGATCACAGCACCTTTCCCAGCCCAGGCGTCTTCACTGAATGACGAGTAAGAACCAAGTCAGTGGCGGAAAGGGGATTCATCTCTAGGATAACCCAAATGACCCAGAAGCCCCAGGCAGAGCCCCAGGAGCGCTGACACACCCTCTGGAGAAAGCAGGAACTCTGTTGCTCTAAAAGGTCTCAGGCTCCTGCCTGTTACATTCTTTGGTGGTACTGGAAGGAAGCTGGAAGAAACGGTGTTACCGCCCTGCTGGTGGGCTGCAGTAATCCACTATATTAAGCAGCTCTCTCCTTGGGCCTCCTCTGACATCACTAGCACTGCAGCAGCCTAGAGAATGGGCTGCACTCCTATGGCCAACGCTGCTTTCCCAGGGGAAGAAGTAGGATTGGTGATCCAGAAGCTGAAAGTCACAATGGGTGTGCAGTGAGCAACCTTTCGTAGACCCTGTCACACCTTCTATTTAAGGCCTGTCTCATTCTCAGCCCCATGACACAGTCAGAGGAAACAGGCTGATCTCATGAATACTGTGGCTCCAAGGGAAAACCAAAACACTCAGATGCAAGTAATGTCTTCATTGCCAAAGGAAACAAAGTGAAGCGCAGCCTTTAAGGGTATGCACCCTGAGTTCTAAACCCTGACTCTGCCTGAAGAACAATTTTTCTGGAGAAGGCGTCATGCCACCTGGTTTGCAGGAAGAAAACAAGGGCATGAAGTCTGAGAAAAGGGAGAAAAAGCCAAGGTGAGTGTCAAGTCTAATTTATTTCAGCCCCTCAGAGTAGGGTTAGAAATGCTGCTAAGGGTGTCAGGGTAAGAATGCCATTTTTGGACCCAGCCAGAGCTTCAAACCCAGCTCTGCCACTGGTATTGCCTATAAGGTCAACAGCCTCAGTTTTATTATCTGTTAAATGGACACACCACCAGTCCACCTCTGCTGTCATTTGGACTAGACCCACCTAGGAAAGCTTGGTACATGTTCTTCATGATTGTCTCCTAACCTCAGACTCCAAAATCACAGGTCAGACGGGAGAGCCCTGACTCCAGGTTAGCCAGCAGACATGTTCTGTGAAGCTGGGTGGCAAGACATGGAAGCAAACTGAGGCAGCCTGAAGACAGCACCCAAAAGCAAACCCTTAAACCACAGAAAAGTTAGTACTAACACTGCTGCTGCTCCTGCCAGCCCTGGAGGAGGAAGGGTCTCGGTAAATGAGGCAGGATGGAGAAGGACCTCGATATATCGCCACAAGATCTTCAGGTACTGTGTTTTCCTCCATCAATACAGAAGGCATTTCAGAAAATCAGCCTGAGCTTCCAAACTTGGCAAAGCAAACCCATATCCAGTTCATCTTTCCGAGGTTGCTGCAGGAATGAACAGAAGCAGGAGGGCCCTGTTTCCTTCACTGCACACTGAGCCCCCGCCCCCGCCCCCACCCCACCCCCACCCCCACCGTCACAGTGCCACCACACACTGGACAAACCTCACGCAGGAACAGCACGCCTGTGCAGCCCAGCAAACTGCTAGTTAGTCAAGACTGATTTAAACCCAGCTCTGTCCCTGCTAACCACACCTGACCCTTTTGATGAGCTGGAGTACCTTCATCTGTCTCTTTCTCATTGAACACCTGAACACCTCTCCTCAGGGAAATCTCAGCTACAAATATGCTACCCGATCCTGCTTCTTCCACAGTATGCGCCGTTGAATACATGCCAAAACTAACAGTCAAGAGGCTCTGGTCAGAACCTGCACTTTAACATCTTTCACTTATAGAAAGTTTCATTTTATCAACATTTGGCAAATAGCTTAAGTGGCTGCCCAGCCTGTCAGAAGTTGTGCTTGGCAATGCTGATGTGTAGACGGGTGTGGATAGGTGATGGAGTGAACAGTGACAAGTCCTACCTGGTCCCCGCACTGGAACAGGTTGGCCACACAGAGACCACGCTGAGCCTGTGCAGGGCCTCTGCATGGTGTGTCACCCACACCATTACTGCCCCTCCTGCTCTAGAAAGTCTCTGATGCAGGCATCCGCTTGTGGCAGATCCACAGTGCTGGGTCTGATGACCTGAGCTTGGTCGGTCCCCAGAAATCCATGGTGGATGAGAGACCTGACTCCTGAAAGCTGCCCTCTGATTGTCATACATGCACCATGGCATGTGTTCTCCCATAGTGGCATGTGCACACCCACACTTACACATATAGATACACAATAATAGTAGTAACAACAGCAAAATGCATACAGAGCTGGACTCAGGCTCTGCCCTGTTAGCTCTGAGCTGTTTTTACCCTGGTGGCAGTGTTTCCAGGAGCAAATGAACCCAAGATCCAAACAGTGTATCTATGGATGACACTGGCAAACATACACTTTTCTCAAGAGCACAATTTTTCTTGAGGACTTGGTGGCTCAATGGCTTCTGAGGCAGCCCTGGTTCCAAATATTCAAACTTGTGCTGCTCCAATGGAGTGGGGAAGATGAGCTGAAGAGTTTATTTTTCAGGATTCCCCCTGAATTGCCAAGTCAGAGAAAGTGTCCCCAGAAACATCCCAAAAGGTTAATATGATTGTCAATCAAGACCGGCTGCCACTTCCCATGCAGGGAGCCCACAGAAGATGCTCAGACAGGACCAATCAAAACCTGAATGACAACCAGACATGGTGGCTCCAGCCTGCGATCTCAGCCCTCAACAGGCTCAAGGAGGAGGATTCCATGAGTTCAGGGTCAGCCTAGGCTATACTCAAGAGTTCCAGGCCAGTTGGGGCTAGCAGAAGAGAAACCCAAGCAAACAAAAGCCAGTGCCGCCAGAGTGGAGGGCTCTATTCACAGCCAGCAAGGCCATGCTTCCCCCATGACCCACAAACACCAGAAGGCTCTGGGAGTACATGTGACCTCAGACAGACAACTTGGTCTTGGGTCATCATGGTTACTTCTTGAATGTCAGTGCTACAAACCTCAAGCCAGACTCAGAAGCAGAGGCCAAACAGACTCAGGAGAGCGCCTCTTTCACACTACAGACTTGGGGGAGAGGGGGCAGCAACATAGCTCCTGAGAAGGTCTCATCCATCCCCTAGGAAAAGTTTCTAATGCTTCACTTGCAAATATTTGAGCCATAGGAATGATATTTTGATTGTGGGAAGCAACATAAACCAGAGATGTAACACTGTGGCCTAAAGTTTGAAACATTTTTTCTGAGAGTCCTCCCTCCCTTTAGCTCCCTTCATATACTGCTGGGTGCAGAAGGAAAAGTCAGTCAGGGTTGTACAGGGCACAGCTCATTGCAGGACGCTGACCGAAACGGCTCAGAAAGGAAAGGCCCTATAGGAGGTGCCAGTGTGGGTAGCCAAAGAAACAGCACCGGGCTCTTGGGTGGTGCCCAGGAGCTGACACCCAGCTTTGTGTGTGTATGTCTGCCGGGAGGAAAGTCTGATGTTGGTCATTTCCCTCCTGGAGAAAAATACAACAATACGAGGAAGCACAGAGCCTGGTGGGAATGTTCCATGGTGGGGGGGGGCTGGTTCTACACATGCTCAAAGGACCGAGCAGAGCAGAGGTCAGGTGTCAAAGGCATGAGGCAGAGCTCATGGGCCAAATTTCTGGGTCATCTGCTGATATCGCAGCACAGGGAGAGAGGACCACAGGAGGCAAAGGCACTTGAGCGGACTGTGCCACAGAAGCACCAGCCAGCTTCAGAATGAGGATTCACCGTGAAACGACGTTTAATTGCCATGCTGAGGGTCATGCTGGGGAAGCACGCCACCTAATCCAATTGGCAGGTCAAGGAAAGAAGAAGAAGGATGAGAACTGAAGGAAGGACAGCAGGGGTAGTCCCACGTCACAGAAAGTACACGAGAAGGTGGTGAGCACTGGATAGGTAAGGGAGGGTTCTTTTCCTAAGGCGTTAAATCATATGCATGCATTTTTCTGGGAAGAGAAGTTCATGGTTTTCACCACCTCTAAAGGTTCTAAAAAAGCCAAGAATCATCAAGTTGGTCCAAATCATTAAAATGAATTGGGGAAACTGAGTGTCTTAGTTATGTTTCTATTGTGGTGGCATAACACCATGACCAAGGTGACTTATAAAAGAAAGCATTTAACTTGGAGGCTCGGGGTTCCAGAAGTTAACGTCCGTGGCCATCATGTAGGAGCAGGGTAGCAGGCAGACTGGCATGGCACTGGAGCACTAGCTGAGAGCTGATACCCTGACCCACGGAGGGGAGGGGGAGGAGGAAGGAGAGGAGGCGAGGGTCGGAGAGAGGGGACAGCTAACTGGAAATGGTGTAGGAGGTTTTTGAAACCACACAGACACCCCCGCCCCTCATGACACGTGTCCTCAAAAAAGCCACGTCTCCTAATCCTGCTCAAACAGTTTCCAGAATGGCAGAGAGCCTATGGATGAGTCTCAGGGGAGCGCAGCTGGTCCAGGGTTTGTATCTGCGGAGCACCTGTCTGCCACTGTGAACTCAGTCCTGAGGGCTGGAGGTGCCCAGTGAGGCGACTGTGCGGTTCTCTGGTGGACCCAGAAGGGAACCACACACCTATGAGTAGCTCACCTGTTGCACAGTCCTCAAAATCAGCTCCTTGCCCCCAGACCCCTTGAGATGGCTAGTCTTCGGGGACCTCTTGGCAAAGTAGACTATAAATGAGGACCGTGCAGACATTACTGTGGATGCAACAGACATACATCTGGCCTCCCCGAGGCCGCTCTTCCACCAGGACCTACCTCTAGCTCTGAGGCCAAGAACAGAACAAAGCCCACCTGGATTCCTCAGTTCTGCCTAGAATTGGAAAGAAGGCTGTTTGTTTGGTTTTGGATTTTATTTGTAAACAGGATCTCGTGTAGCCAAGGCTGGCTTTGAACTCCTGCCCCCACAACGAAAGTTCCAGGGTTACAGATATGCTCCATTACAACTGGTTTTGGAAGGAAGTTTTACAACCAAACAGAAATAATGGAGCACATTTTGATGGTATTAAATTATGGGGGCGGGGGCACTAAGCACACAGAACCCTCACGCCTTCACTGCTTTCTGGAGCATCTGGGCAAGTCTGGATTGCCATGTTGAGAGGTCTTTGAAGCTCGGCCCCCACCACCACCTCCTACTGTACTTGCTGCTCACTCCTCACCTCTGCAGCCCACTCTCAATGGCACCCTAAGGAGTCCCATAACCGCTGAGGGGTGATGCTGCTCTGAGAGAGGCTGGACACCTCTTCTACCACCTCTGCAGGTTAGCCTCTGGCTCCTGCCCTGAAACTCTCTTAACTTCCAGAGTCGGGAGCAGCCCTGGCAAAGGCTGAGTGGCAGAAGGTAAGCCATGAAGCCAGCGTGAGCTAAGGGCAGAAAACAGGGACAGGTGGCTGCGGACACACAAGGCAGGTCCAATCTACCCTCTAGCAGCTGAATGGTAAACGGACATTTCTGAAACAAGAATGGAAGCAAAGTCACCGGCTACAAGGGACCTGCACAGAGACTGGCAGCCTCATGGACTATCCTGGAGAGTCAGACAGCAAGGATGACTCAGATCTCTGAGCCTCAGCCAAGGGGTACAAGATGTAATGGGCCCAGGACTAGCAGCATTGTAACCTCCAGAACTCAGGAGGCTAAGGCAGGAGAACCCGAGTTCAGGAGCAGCCCAGACTATGACAGGAAGCTTGAAAGGAGGCTGTTATGCTCTTGAGGATGTATGGCGTGTACCCCAAATTCACAGTCAAGTTGTATTTCCAGTAAGTGGCTCATGAAGAGATGATCGATCGATGAGGACAGAGCCCACATGTGTGAGCAGAGAGACTCCTGGCCCCTTCCTTGTGAGAACACAGCAAGAAGGCACCATCCTTCAACACCTAATGTTTGATGAATGTCGTATAAGCAACACCCTCTTTAAGT